CAAGCCTTTCTTCAGGTTTGATTTTTAAGCTCGGATGTTTGTTATAGCTCTGTCTGTTGTTGGTCAAACCAGTGGCATGCTTATTACAGCAGACAGATTTTTAAGAATATATACTAGTTTATAACTGTGTGTACAACAGGAGCTTCCAAAGCTCTCCAAGAAGAGCCTGTAAAAAGCAGAGTACTAAGAAATACCATTTTTTAAATGAAACCTCTGTGTATTCTTACCCCCTTGACCTACAAGGTGTTTTTAGATGTGGGGTGAAGGAATTTTACTTTCTCACTTCTTGAAATGGTGGTAAAACTGATAGCAGCTGCCTTTCAGGGGAGTGAGTGGAGAGCAAAGAATTGAGGTGGGCTGGGACGTTCCAGAGCTGGCAGAGCTGCAGTGTTGCTGCTGGGAAAGGAGTGTCCATTTGATCTTGGATCCTCAGAGACCTGACAGATTTGTAAGGCACAGCCTTTAGCTGCTGCTTTGATTGCGAGTGCAGAGTGCAGGAAGGAGGTTTTGTTCTCAAAACAGAGAGAAGGGAGCAAGGATGAAAAGTCTGTGTAAGGAGGCGGTGGATAAACCAAGGCCAAGTGTAATTCCAGCCAGCAGGTAGGATATAACTGAAAACTTGGAGCTGCTAGCAAAACTTTTTTTAAAATTAAAATTGCTTAGGCCATGCTAGCATGGGGGTGAGAGTTGGTTTCTCAGGCAGAGCTCTTACCAGTCTTTGATAACACACAGCAGTTTTGATGACCCTAAATCACTGGAGTGCAGATCTCAAGGCAGTGGGGAGTAGCTGTGGGGTTTGCTTTGAGTGATGGAGAGGAGAGGAGCCTTCCTCTTAAGGGAAACTAGCTCATCATACAGCGAAGCTTGGAGCTGCTGCACGCTGTCCTCCAACTTGAAAACCTGATGGAGATGGATGAATTACTATGCAAACATGAGGTCTTGTCTAGAAGGATGCTGAGGAGATCTGCCCCTTCATAGCAGGTGGGATATGGCACCTCAGGATTCCCTTGTTGCTCCATTTGATATTTAGACTTCTTAAAATCCCTCAGCCCCAATGTGGACATAGAGTCACTAGCAGTGGAGTTATTCTGGAAAAAAATCTCTTGCTGCTGTTACTCGTTCCCTCTGTTCCCCAGGGGTTTTATTCAGTCTCCATGTTGCTATCTGTTTCCTCCAAAGGGAATTACTTGAATTTGACAGCTTGAGACGGTTAATGATGTAAAGCAAACTGTTGTGTAGGCAGCTGAATTAATCTCACCTCTGCCTCCCCCCAGCATTCCTACTGGACAAGAGGGGGCACGTGCTACGGCCAGTCTGGAGCCACATTTCTGATCTGTTTGGTAGGCTCAGGCTGTGTACCTTAGCCAGGTTTTTACAGCTCTTGTTTCTGTTGGGATCTCATTTAGATCTGCAGCTAGAGCAGGTTGCTCAGAGCCCCGGCCAACCTCACCTGGGATGGTTCCAGGGATGGGGCAGCAACCATCTCCCTGGACTAGTGTCTCAACACCCTCACAGTGAAGAATTTCTTTTTACTATTTAATATCATTCTATTTTCAGTTTAAAATCGCTACCCCTTGTCCTGTCACTGCACTCCCTGAAACAGTCCCTCACCCTGTTCCTTGTAGGCTCCCTTTAAGTACTGAAGTACTTCAAGCACTCCCTCTTCATTTCAAACCATCACCCCTTGTCCTCTCACAACAGGCCCTGCTAAAAAGTCTGTCCCTAGCTTTCTGACAGGCCCCTTGAAGCCCTGGCAGCCCCCAGCAGGTCTCCCCAGCTGGAGCCTTCTCCTCTGTGGCTGCCCCAGCCCAACTCTCTCCTGCTGGGCTCCCAGCAGAGGGGTTCCCCCCTCGGGGCATTGCTGGGGCTCCTCTGGCCCCGCTCCAGCAGGTCCCTGGCTCTGCTGGGCTGAGGACTCCAGAGCTGCCCCAGCACTGCAGGGGGGTCTCACAGAGCAGGGCAGAGGGGCGGGATCCCCTCCCTGCCCTGCTGGGCACATATGAGTGTAAATTGATTGTTGCTGTATCATGGTTAAAATACAAGGTGTAAGGTGCTCAGAGTCATCACTTTGTTTTGTTTGTATTCTAGGAACACCTGAGACCTGCTCAGGGCTGCAGATCCTCTTGTTAGTCATCAAACACACTCTTAAGACCTACAGTGCAGTGTCCTAGCAGGTCCCAGAGTCTTAATGACTTCATTTGAATTGCATCTCAAGATGGTGTTTGTTCTTGCAACATGGTACTTGTCAGTGTAATGGTTATCACAAAATACTACAAACAGGGAATCTGAGATCTGAGTAGTGCTTGTTACCAAATATGCTTACCTTCAGTTTTTCAGCTCTTGTTACAACTGTTGGAACAAATCAGGGAGACTAGACTTTAGGCCTTGAAGTTATGTTAAAAGTTTCATTGCAGGAAAAGAGAGTTCTGGAAGAGACTGAGAAAGGTCATCTTGGCTAATCCTTTGCCTCCAGGTATTATCACCTGGATCTAAATCTTTAACAAGTGTTGGAGCTGCTAAGAGCTTTCAGCAAGAGGCATGTTGCAAGAGTAGTCCCTCATCTGTTGCTGTAAATGCACGAGGTTTACAAAAACAAGTCCTTCCACTATGTCTTTTCATGAATTCTGTGTCAGATACCCATAGCAGACTTTCAGTGTGCACGTGGATATTTTCAATACCGCCAACATGATTTGTTCCTCAGTTTGATCCCTTATTCCTCAGGGACTGGGACCAGGTGAAAAGGACAGTGGAGTTGAGGGCACCCTCACAAAGTCTGTGGATAACACCAAGCTGAGTGGTGTGGCCAACATGTTGGAGGGAAGGGAGGCCATCCAGAGGGACCTTGACAGGCTGGAGAGGTGGACTGAGGCCAACCTCATGAAATTCAACAAGGCCAACTGCAAGGTCCTGCCCATGGGTTGGGGCAATCCCAGCACAAATACAGGCTGGGCAGAGTATGGATTGTAAGCAGCCCTGAGGAGGAGGACTTGAGGGAGCTGGTGGATGAAAAGCTCAGCATGTGTTCAGCAGTGTGTTCTCGCAGCCCAGAAGGCCCCGGCAGCCTGGGCTGCCCCCCAGCAGCGTGGGCACAGGGCAGGGAGGGGATCCTGCCCCTCTGCCCCGCTCTGGGGAGACCCCCCTGCAGTGCTGGGGCAGCTCTGGAGTCTTCAGCACAGCAGAGACAGGGACCTGCTGGAGTGGGGCCAGAGGGGTGATCAGAGAGGGCTGGAACCCCTCTCCTATGAGGCCAGGCTGAGAGAGTTGGGCTTGTTCAGCCTGGAGAAGAGAAGGCTCTGGGGAGACCTTCCTGCAGCCTTCCAGTATCTGAAGGCAGCCTACAAGAGACCTGGGGAGGGACTTTTTGCAAGAGTTTGTAGTGGTAGGGTGAGGGGTAATGCGTTCAAACTGGAAGAGGGGAGATTTAGATTAGGAACTAGAAGGAAGTTCTTCACTGTGAGGGTGGTGAGACACTGGCACAGGTTGCCCAGAGGGGCTGTGGATGTCCCAACACTGGATGTGTTCAGCACGAGGCTGGATGGAGCTTTGAGCAGTCTGGTCTAGTGGGACGTGTCCCTGTCCATGGGAGAGGGGTTGGAACTAGATGATCTTTCCAATGGATGGTCCATTCCAACCCAAACCATTCTATGGTTTGTTTAATTGATCTGTAGTTTTGGGATCATTTAGATTTTTGTGAGAGATGACAGATGAGTAGAATATATTTCCTTGTTGATTTTAATCATCCCTGTCTGTGAATTTTGTAGGTGAAGAGCAGCATGGAGTGGAGCTAGTTAGTGAACCTCTTCTAGGAAATTACCCCCCTTAGCAGAAAAGTGGTGAAAGCTTTAATTAACCTATTAATTTAATACTCAAGTGTCCGCAAAGTGTTTTCTGAGCAGTAACAGTCATTACCTTTCATAATTGCATTCAGTTATATGGACCATATATTTACATATAATTCCCTCTTAGCCATCCCATTTAGTTTCTCCACTTGTTTCCCTCTGTCCTGAAGCTTTTACTGGTGCATTTACATTGTACAGCTACTGCAAGTACACTTTGACACTGCTTAATCATTTCAAGTGAGGGTTAGTCTTCAAGGCTTGAGGAACAATTATTAGTGCCACCAAAATTTTGATGTCTGGGAGGTTCTGAAAGTGTCCCTGCCCCTTGCTTTTGGCTCTCTGCTGTGGCAGCTGTGCTCTCTGTTTTATTTACCAAGGAAAACTATCCTTGTTTCTTTCCAAGCTGGGATTGCTCTGGGTTGGGGTGATGTCTCTGTTCTGTTCTCTGAAGAAGTTGGTGGACTAGTAAAAAGGTGACCTAACAGTGTAAACCTGGGAAGTCTTAGGTAAGGAATAGAATCTTAGTAAGATCCAGCGGAATAGCAGGAGTTGTCCTCTTCTGGTCTTGTTTTAGGTACTGAAATACAACTTAGTCTTTGCTGTATCTATAGAGATTGTTTTCCTTTGTTGGGTAGTGAGAACCACCCTTTAATGAGGAAAAACAGGTCAGAAGTGTTTGCTCTTCAGCACTATTTATACAAAAGTGCTAGGCTCTTTCTTTTAAAACTAGGAGTCTACTTAACTGAGTGATATCCATGAAATCTTGGCACTTTTAACTGGAAATCAGTTGTATTGCTCACTTCCTTTAAAAAAAAAACAAAGAACCTTAAACCCCAAGTCTCTGCAGGGGTACAAGTTCCTATGAGGGTTTGGAACTTCATGTAATTCCAGAGAGAAAACTGTGTTTGGGGTCAAAACGGTGACAGGGGTAGGTGTTGGGTGCTTCTGAACTGCAAACAAACAAGTGTAGCTTGGGGGTTTTCCACTAAAAACAAACAAAAAAAATCCCATCTAGTGTGTTTACCCAGCCTTGTAATAAAATGTGATGATACGTTGCTTCTCCTGGTCACGTACAGGTGTTTATAGAGTGAAATGAATTTGATTATGCTCTTTTTGTGGAAGCTGTGTGTAACAGAAATGCTTCTTTTTTTTACTCAACAGGCGATCAGCTGTAAAGGTCAGCACAGTATCTCTTACACCTTATCCAGAAACCAGACTGTTGTAGTGGAGTACACTCACGACAAAGATACGGACATGTTTCAGGTAAGGCTCTATGCAATACGTGCATTCTTTTGTCAAAGCCAACACACAGAACCAAAATTCTTTGTTATATTCTTCTGGGTATTCTCTATGATCTGTGGGATTTCTGTGGTCAAACCCAGTCGTATTAATATGGGAGCACTCTGAAGTTTTGCACTGTCTGCTCTCCTCAAACCAGTGCCAGCACCTGTTGATGCCTTTACTGCCTTCATCTACTCTGCTTTTCCTGCAAGGGCAGCAAAGCAACTGTGCAAACAGCACTAGAAAGAAAAGTGTGCTCTGTCTGGATTTGTGAATAAGCACAAGAATTCACCTTCCACCCCACAGTTACCCAAGCAGGTGGAGTAAAACAGAAGTGGGTAGGAGTAAGACGCAGAATGGAGAAGGAGGAAAGTAAAAGCAAAGGTAGGGAGAGAAATGTGGGAGCTGTGCACTAAAGGAGAAAAAGTAGTGATACAATGATAAATAAAACTGTTCCTGAAGGGTGTGCAAATAAATCAAACACTAAAGGGGACGGTGCTGAGTTTCTCTAAGCTACCATCTAGCCAATGTGCCTCTGCTCTCCCTTGTATGCATTTGTGATTTTCTGCATCATTTACGACTCTGGTAACCTATGTTATTTTCTTGTGCAAAGTTTATTTTTATATCTAATGAGAGAACAGAAATTCGCTACAAACTTAGACTTCGTGCTTGGAAAAAACCAAACACACACAACCTTTTCCAGTGTAGACTAATCAGGTATGTTTTGTCAATGACCTCTGTAATTAGAGCATCTTATCATGAAGTGTTATACTTCATCATTAAGTCTTTCATATTTAGAAGGGTCAGCAGTTGAGTGGTGTTGACAGAAGAGGAAATAGCTCTGTCAAGATGTCGTTGCTTCATGTGGCTTCTGTTCTTTGCTCTATATAAAATTTTCCCAGTGTGATTTCAGAAGGATTAGTCCCAAATAGGGACTGATTAAAACCCAATCTTGTTCATTTACTGCTGCATGAAGGATCACACAGCCAGAATGAGCTGAAATAGGTTTTTCTGTGTTGACTAGTAAAAGAAAAACGTAACCCGTCCTTCTGGGTTATTGTGTGATACTTGTTTATCTCTGCAGAATGCTTTTGTGCCTTGAGTAGCTCCAGTGGAACTTTTTGCTGTATGTAAATTTTGAAAAGCCATTTTTGAAAGCTGGAATTTTCCCATTTCTTCTGTATATGAAAAAAAAAGAATAAAGAAGAATTGCAGAGCAGCTGCTATTTGGGTTGTACTACACAGACAGTGCTTTTCTTGATTGCATATATCCTAGTGGTGGTGACAGCTTTAAGTTGGGGGTACTGATAAAGAATTAGAGGTAGGTTGGGGTGCTTAGCTGTCACTCAAATGAAAACTAGTGGACCAAGGTGAAGGGATGCAGCACAGGCAGAGGAATGCTCCAGGGGTTCAAGGTTCCCCAGGTTTCATAGTGCAGCTAACAACGTATCCTCCCCTGCTGCCCACCTCCATCCCCTGATGCTCAGCAGAGGAGGAGTTTGTGCAGGGTGGACTCTGAGACACCTCAGACTGTGGCAGCTGACCCAGAGACCTGCTGCTCTTCCACGGCTGGCACTGGAGCACACATCCCACTGCCACTGTACAAGCCCAGGCCATGTGCTTTGTCCTCCCAGCAGCAATCAAGTGCCTGGTGAACTGTCCCAAAAGCTCAGGTTTGGACCATGTGCTGATTAACCTCTGGTTCAGGCAGTTGCCTGCCACATATTTGTGTGGCAAACACTGTTTTGACGTGTGACAAATCAAACTATCCCATCTAATTAACAAAGCTTTTTGAGATGAATCTTGTCTTGGTGGAGTGTCTCAGCCCTTCTGGTGCCCTCTCAAATAGCTCATTTCAATTATTCTCAGTAATCTGAGTGTGGGCAGACAGAATAGTTAGTTACAGTCTGTTTTGAGCAGCCCTGTGGTACATGATGCCAAATTACACATCTCTTAATCCATTGAGTAAAGCCTTACTGTTGGTCAAGCATCGCCTGGACAGACAATCCTTGGAGTCTGCTCTTTTCAAAGGTGTTTTCCTGGGTTTTGTAGAACACTGACAAGCATGCAGAAGCTGAAAAGGAAGGGGTTATACCTGAACCACAGGATTATCTTGAGGTCCCTCCTAACTAACACCTTAGTTAGTGGCACACAAAATAAGGAGAATGGACAGTGGAGGTCTTTGTTCTCTTGGTCAGGGTACCCATTTCTAACCTGTGATGACTGAATCCATTGGGTTAGAGCTGATCTTTTGTGAAAATTAGGGAGTTTCACAGTTCACCAAAAAGCTGTCCCCAGTTTTTTTTCCCGTCTCCCACTTGGAGAGTCTGTCAGTCCTTTTTTTCTGAAGGAAATCCTAAGAAGTGTTGTGTTGGCGACTTGAATTCTGCAGTGTTTCCAGAAAATGTGGGGAGACTATACGAGGGGCAGTAAGGAAATTCAGAAGCATTGAAAAGCAGAGTTCAGGCTGTCTAAACACCAATTTTCTTGATGTTTTCCATAATAAAGTGGATCATATTTTCCTGCATATAACTTAGTGGCTCATAAGTGCTTTAAAGCAGCATGTACATATTCTACCTGCCCCTCTCCCCCCCAAGCAAACACATTTGTCAACCATGCAGGTTTTGTACCTATTCAGTAGATGCTTGATGAAATAACTCACAGGAGTAGTCCTACCCCTTATCTTCTACTGTCTTTTTTTCTGAAGATAACATGAAGAGTTACTTACAAATAAGTGTTCTCATTTAAGAGTGTTTGAGTATATTACTTGAAGCACTAACCAGCCAAGTCCTTATTTCTTGAAAGCTGGAGGCAATGCAGAAATGGGTGCTTCTGTCTGCCCTGCCTACTTGTATCCTGCTCAGTCACTTGACAAACATCTGGTGGGTCCCCTTAACAAAATGGCTTCACCCCCTCCTGCAGCAGAGCTTGGAAACTCGCAGGTGTCCAAGTGCTTTGGAAGGTTGTCCTGCACATCTCATATAATTATGTCCCATACTTCATTCTGGGTTTTTTCCCTTTACTTTTTTCATTCCTTACTGCACTTTTTTTCTGCTGTGTTGAGTGTGAGTTTTCTTTTCCTTAATGAAACTGTGTGGTGACATTTGTGTACAGATGCTACTATCTAGCTGTGTCTTAGTGAAATATTAGATCAGTTTTCTTCATGCAATAACAAAACCAATGTTCTAACGTGTCCCATCTGCCATCTCCCAAAGTCTATATACTGCAGCATCTGTACGCTGTTAAAAACGAAGAATTTTTTTTTTCCCAGAGTTTAGTAGCCATTCTGTTGATGAATGTGTTCCTTCATGGCTTGATGGGACTAGAATGGGTTGATTATACCTGTTCATACTACTACAAGGAACCCAAATGTGTAGCCTGTACCCTAACCAACTACAATTTTATATAAGAAGCAGGTACATTCAATGTGAAGAATTGATTTCTTTTTTTTTCCTGAAGCCTTTCAGCAGATTCTCTTGAAGTCCAAGAATCTGCAGCTGTTGAATTATCTCCTGTCAGGTTGTCTGGTTTTGCCTTGTCTCAGGAGCAAGAGTTTTTAATAGCACTTCTTTGATTGACAGTAGACACTAGGAAATTGATTGACTGCCTGGCTTTTACACAGCTTTTGACAGTAACCCAGAGTGTAGACAACAGAAGCTGTCTTCTGCATCAGTTGGAAGATTTATAGTTTGTTATTGGAAGTAACTTAGTGAAATAATATATAATATGACATGGTCAACAAGAAAAGTCCCCAGATACAGCCTAAGACCACTAGAAAGAAGAAAGTCTTCTCTGCTGTATTGGAAAATGAAAATCAAGTGAGTAAAAGCCTGTAAAGAGTAGCTTCCAGTAATTAATCTAGGTCTGTAGTGACTGTAATCTGAGTTAAAATTTTTGATGGATAAACGTTGATAACACAAAGTTCTTCACTTGTTCTAGAGGGGTTTTCTTATCAGATGATCTCAAACCCCAAATTTTGATTTGATACTGAGCTATATTTTTCAAATTCAATCAAATTTTATTTGATACAGAGCAAAAGGGAACCAAATATTTAAAATATTTAGTGTTATATAGACATACTTGTGGCATAAATGACATGGTAATTACTTGGCTTAAAATAGTGTATTTAGTTTTAGAGGTTTTTAAAACCCACATAAAAGCTTTCTATAGTGATTTTTTTTTTTTAATGCTTATATCCAAACATTTCATGGTGACTTATTAGGATGATGTAAAGAAGACTGGGAGCAAACACTTGTGTGTTTTGTCATCCTTTAAAGGAAAACAAGGCAGGTTTTTCTCTAATTGCATCTAAAAGCTTTGAGAGTGATCTGTTTGAGAGACTGTAACAGGCAGAAACCTAACAACAAATTTAGTTTGTGTTCATTATTTATTATCCTTTAAAAGACTTCACATAGATTAGTTAGAAGTTATGAATAAGCTTCCTGCTGCTGGTTGGTGCTGATTCTTACCAGGAATTGTTGGATGGGAAGCAGAAGGCTAGTAGAAATAATGCTGTAAAAGGAAGAAGAAAATATATTTCTAAGTTTTAGCTTCAACTTATCAAGTTATATAAATCAGAAATGTCCCATCTTGAACAGTTTCTGAACTCTTGTCTCATGGGTATTCTTGTAGCTGCTTTAGATTCTTTGAAAAATTGAAGTGCATACTTTTGATTAGGCCTTTTTTAGTGTTTCCTTGCCACTTTATCTGCAGCAAGCTCATCCCACTTTATACTTGGGCTGAGACCTGCAATATGGAGAAGGTAACTGGATGTGTCCCTTAAAATATGAATTTTGACAAGTGTTTGAGCTGAACACTGCAAAATAGAACTGGAAGCAGAAGAGAAGTACAGAGATCCTTGTACTCTTGCAATCAATTTAGTTGCAACAAGGGTTAAGGACCAATAAATCACTTTCCTTGATTCTTGAATAATTTCTTTACAGCAAATTTAGTTTGCAGAGATGTTTGTAAGTGGTGGTGCCACAGGTTTTCCCGTGGAGCTGGCTTTGAAGAGTCAGAAGTTAAGGAGACTATAACTTCTTGGCGGACAACACGATCATGTTTAGTGAGGAGGTTATTTTTTATAAATATAGATGCCTGATACTGAAGGTAGTTTCATGTGAAGAATATAGCTCTGTTTGATCACAAGGGGTCTATAAAATTAATATTCTGTCCCACTCCTTGTTCTGCCACTCGGCTTTCCCCGTTATGCTCCAAGTTGGTGTAACACTAATTTGCCAGCAGAAGTATTGATGAGGTCTCACTGTGTGTGTTTGGCAGTCAGATCCCTCTGTCCATTTTGTAATGCAGTTTTCTCTTCCAGATGCCTAGATGTTTCTAGTCTTAGAATTAAAATGTAAAGATGGCAAGACAGGAAAATATTCTTGTCTACTGGTCAGGTGTGTTTTATTTCTGCTGAAGAAAGGCTTTTAATTTCTTCAGTCATGCATGTGCATAATTAGGAATAAATTTAATCATGGTGGGTTTTAGCTGAAAACTCTTTTGTTCTGGAACTACAAATTCTGAAAACATGAAGGTGGGTAAATTTTTGTTATGCTACATCAAAATAACTGAGTTCTGGGTTTAAAAATGTCCTTTGTTTTCATGGCAAGTTAACTTGGCAGTAGAAATGTGGCTACAACTTGTCATTTCAAGCTAACGTTTCCTTAATTGACAGACTGTAGTGGTAAGTAGTTTGCTGTGGCTGGATTATGAACCAGCAAGGTGATAATACTTTGTTGACAAACCTCTATCAAACAATTAACTGCAGCCTCTGTCAGGCAAGCATTTACATGAGTTATAAGTGAAAATTTGTCATGCCATGTCAGTGATATATTTCTGCCTAGGACAAATGTGAAAATAAAGATTATTCTGGTTGGATCTTGCCATCCAAAGCTTCAGCAGACAGTACTTTACTGATGTCATCACGTTTAATGGGGCAAAACTGTGTCCCTAATGCTTGGTATTTCCATGACTCTAATTATACCGTTACCTTAATTTTTTTGGCAGGTTGGGAGGTCAACAGAAAGCCCCATAGACTTTGTAGTGACAGATACTATTTCTGGAAGTCAAAATAACGATGAAACACAGATCACCCAAAGCACCATCTCCCGTTTTGCATGCAGGATTGTTTGTGACAGGAGCCCACCCTATACAGCAAGGATTTTTGCAGCTGGATTTGACTCATCTAAAAATATATTTCTTGGTGTAAGTACTACTAATAATTATGTTATGTACAAGCAAACTCTGCTTTTTTCCTCTTATTTTTCAAGCCCCCAAAATTTCCTTGTACTGATTAATAACTTACACTGTCATTAGACTTTTATTACTCCAATGTACCAGCTGCAACATTAAGTAGAAACTGCAGTTTTATGTGCCTGATTTATTACCAGCATGGGCTCATGGTTATAATTGTCTTTAACAACACAGCTCCAATGTAGTAACTGTTAGTGGATTTTCTTTAGGTTTGTTTGATATATTCTTGATAGTCATTGTGAATAAGCTGCTGTTGCACTTCCAAGTGCTAAAGACCAAGGAGCTCATCAGCTGCACCATGGAAAAGGATGTGCCCATTGCAGTGGTATTTTCTTATGGGAGCTAGAGGGGTGCTGCTGACCTTTGAAGGCATCAACTCTTACCCAGCTTGCAGTCAGAGGCACTCAAATGAGTTAAAAATATTACTATTTAAGATAGAACAGTAACTGATGAAAAATAAGCAAAAGGTGTTACTACTCTAGCACAAAGTATTCTTAAAAATAGGGGGGTTTTTTTGGTATGTGTAAGAACTGCTGGCTGGTGAGGAAATGTGTTTTAGACTATGCTAGTAAAACTTTAGTGTAAAAAAAAAAAAACAAAAAAAAAAACACTAAAATAAAAGATTAGTCCATAATCTTTTAGACAAACTCTTTCTTTCCTGGGGTGGTTGTCACATGCAGGAAAAAGCAGCAAAGTGGAAAAATCCTGATGGCCACATGGATGGACTGACAACCAATGGAGTGCTGGTCATGCATCCAAAAGGAGGGTTCACAGAGGAGTCCAAGCCTGGAGTCTGGAGGGAGATCTCGGTCTGTGGGGACGTCTACACTCTCCGGGAAACCAGATCTGCCCAGCAGAGGGGCAAGCTGGTAAGCTGAAAGTAGCTGCTCACTAAAAGAAGGGATGCTTGCTCTCCTGGCATTGGATGGAGACAGTCATCAGGTGACTGAAATCCTCTCGGTGTGGGCACTGAGATCAGCTGAGTCGGTGTGTTACAGTAGATGCTGTGCTGCTGTTCTGATGCTGCTTATACAGGAGAACACTCTTTAAGTTTTCAGCTAATGTCACTTTTCCACCTAAAACAGCATCGAGTGTAAAAACGAAATAAACTTTGCTCTTGAATCTCCCTCTCTGAAACGTTCTCCTGGGGCATGGGCACATCTGGAAGTTCCTGCATGGGGAGCAGTCTTTTTGCAGTGCTGTCTGAAAAGGAAGAGCCCACCTGCATGCAAAGTGAGGCTGGATAATGCAGCTTCTGTTTGATTTACCTGCTACCAGGAAGATAAGAGGAGCCCTCCTAAGTATGTCCCTGGTTTATCCTGGGGAGCAGGGCGGGCCTTGCCTTTACCAAAGGTGAGAGAGACCTGTGGCATACATGATGAGGAGAGGGGTCCCCATGAAAGCTGGTGTCCTCTATAGAATAGGGGAGGGAATTCCCATAGCTCTCAAAGGAGGGGAGGGAGGAAACAACAAAATCAAACACTGCCCTAGAGAAGTATCCCAGCAAAACACAAAGACAGCCATGTTTCCAGTCAGGCTGGTGAGCTTCCCCAGAAGTCTCTTTGTCTCTGGGTAGGTTAGAATGCTGTCCTGCTGCAGACCTGGAAAAGCCTATTCTGCTGCTTCTAAGGCTTCAGGAGGTGAGAGGATGTTCAAAGGGTGTCTTCACAGCAGCTAAAGGTGCCACCTATCTTGGGTCTAGCAGCTGATAAAGTTCCTTTAAACACTGAGAAAGGGTGTATGGTGTAGGGGTAACATCCTTCCCTCCTTCATGCCAGGTTGCTTTTGTGCTGCTGCCTTGAGTTCCCATGAGCTGGATGGTGTTGGAGGTATCCCACACACACTGAACTGACTTTGCAGAAAACTGCCAGCTTGAAGGAGCTGGGAAAATGGGGCTGGGCTGTTTTGTTGTGCTTTCAGCAGCCAGCCTGCAGTACATAAATTGCTTTGTCACTTTATAAGGGTGGCAGGCAAACGTCGCCTCAGGGACAGGGACAGATGAGGTTGCAATTGCACCCTCTGTACGTGCTTAGCAAAACACCTTCTCAGCACTGCTGAAGAAAGACACACTAAAACAAATAAATTCCCTTCCCTGCATCCAAAATGACTCGAATTCTCATTTAAATAAAATTACATGGCACACTGGTGTTGATGTGATCAGTATTCGTTGATTGGGTTCATAAAACCAAACGCACCCTGTATAATGAATTGAACACGTTGCATACCAGGAGGCTTTTTGTTGCTCTTTGTGAAGGAATTAGCTGATAAAATGCATCAAATCGAGGCTTCTTTCGTCTCTACTAACCCTCCAGTTTTTCTGGTGGAAGTACTTTATGCTGGTGATCTCTTCTGTGTAGCCTGCATTGTACGATCTAGGTGTTTTGGGCAAGGATGATCCCCAGTTAATCTGTGAATTTAAACTGGATTAAAATGTAAATGCCAAATTGGTTGTCATTCGTAAGGCAGATGCGATGATTTCATGTGACCTACTTCAGGTATTTGTATTTGGGTATTTGTTTTGCTTGAGTGGTATTTCCTACCTACTTTCTACTATAAAACCAGGCACTAGGTCTGTTTTCCTCTTTAATTTCAGGAAGAACCTTTTTAATATTCATCACTACTGAACTGGTGGCAATAGCACAAGTTGCTTACGTGTTTGTGCTGTTAAAATAACAAGTATTTTAGCAAAATATGTTTGGCATAATCCCTTGAAAATGTTTTCTATACCTGCTTTTAGTCTGATGAGAGAAGCTGCTAGGCAGTGCACATCAGGGCTGTATTTTCATGGAATGCCTCATTAAATTAAGAGCTAAACTAGTTGGGGTGGTCAGTTGTTCAGAAGCTGAGCCTGTGTGGCTTGAGTTGCTGAACTTGTCATTTGAGAAACACAGCTGGTGGTACAGGCAGCTGGTCTGTCCTGGGCAGCAGTTTTTAGTCCAAAAATGATCTTTTTCTATGTGAGCAGCCTCTGCCAGTCTAGGTGGGCAAAGAATTCCAGGGAAACAATCTGCTAGTGCAACCCTTGGGGAATGGCAAGTTGCCTTTTCAGTCTGTCATGACTTGACTTAAGCATGACAAGAGAATTGGTATTAGAGCAAGGAGCGTGCTGAGAAGTAGGGGATATTTGTGAAGAAGTTAATGATTACTAATATAATACCTCTCCCAAAAAACCACAGGGAGGAAGGCCATGTAGAATAATTAGCATTGCCATAGCATGTAACAGTTGTAAATCTGGCATCTCCTGCACAAGCAGAGTAAGAGACCAATGCTCATTATATATATAATAACACTCTTATAACACTCTTATATGTTATATATTATAATATATAACATATATATATTATAACACTCTTAAATATAGTGTAAGATACAAAGGGTGGATTCGGCCGAGGCCCCAAGGAAGCAGTGACCCCAAATTGGGTAGCGTGCTGAGGAGGGTGATGCCGTGCTGAGGAGGAAGATGCGCTGACAGAACTACCTCAAAAGTCCTTCCCCCAGGTAGAAAACGAGACCAACGTCCTCCAGGACGGTTCCCTCATTGACCTGTGTGGGGCCACCCTGCTGTGGAGGACGGCCGACGGACTGTTCCACACGCCCACCCAGAAGCACATCGAGGCCCTGCGGCAGGAGATCAACGCCGCCAGGACCC